TGTCGCCCAGGCTTGAGTGCAGTGACGCAATCTCGGCTCACTGTAAGCTCCGCCTCCCGGGTTCCCGCCATTCTCCTGCCTCAGCCTCCTGAGTAACTTTGACTACAGGTGCCCGCCACCATGCCCAGCTAATTTTTTGTATTTTTAGCAGAGATGGGGTTTCACCGTGTTGGCCAGGATAGTCTCGATCACCTGACTTTGTGATCCACCCACCTCAGCCTCCCAAAGTGCTGGGATTACAGGCGTGAGCCACCGCATCCAGTTTTTTCTTTTTTCTCTTTTTTTGAGACAAGGTCTTGCTGTGTCACCCAGGCTGGAGTGCAGTGGCGTGATCTCAGCTCACTGCAGCCTTGACCTCCTGGGCTCAGATGATCCTCCCACCTCCTGAATAGCCTCCTGAATAGCTGAGACTACGAGGCACGCCACCACACCCAGCTAATTTTTGTTTTTGTAGAGTTGGGGTTTAGCCATGGTCTCTCTTTGGTAGAAACCAGTCTAGGCTAGTCTTGAACTCTCGGGTTCAAGCAATCCCCCTGCTTCAGCGTCCCAAGGTACTGGGATGACAGGTGTGAGTCCACAGCCAGCCCCTTGGTTTCCTTTTCCCCTTTTTTCAGGGGACCCGAAGCTGAGAGCGCCTCGGGTGCTCAGGCTACAGCAGCAGGAGTGGTTTTTGTTCATGACATGAGCCCCCTGCCTCCTCCCTCCATGTCTGGGCGTGAGCCGGGGATGGTGCCGGCACCGGAGCTGGCCTTTGCCCCATGAGCACTTCCCACAAGCGATGGCTCAGAGACCAAAATCCAGTCTTGGGGGTTTGTCCGAAACACAGATTCCTGCACCCCACCCTGACTGACGGAGTCAGAACCGTAGGGGGCCAGAAGTTGGCTGCATTTTAAGTTCCCCACACACCGGGAGGCTTGTGAACATTCACGTTCGGGAAGCACCAGCCGGCGACTGCGCACCGGCGCCTGGGCCTCTGCTGTGGGAGTGTACGTTTCTGAGTCTTGCTGATACCGTGTGGTTGCATTTCCGTTTCCTCAGTGGGCATGACGTTGCCACTTTCCCAGGAGACCTTGCAGCTGCGGCATCTCAGATGAGCCCCTGGAGGGCTGCCCCGAGGCTCGGATCTCGTACTCCAGCCAGAGCGCCCCGGCCGGACCCTTTGTCCCCATGACCGGTCTCAGTGACTCAGTGTCACCTGGGAAGGGGGAGGGCCTGGGGACATCGGGTCCCAGTGGCCTGACATGGGGCCCCTCTCTCCCAGCTGGCAGCAACGGCCCCTTTCTGTGTGGGAAGCAGACCACGTTTGAAGGAGGGATGAGGGAGCCTGCCCTCGCGTGGTGGCCGGGGCACATCGCCGCAGGCCAGGTGAGTCAGCGTCCACCCGTCTGCCGGGCAGCAGGCCCAGGCCTGTGGCCATCCCAGGGTGTGTGCAGCCCTCACTTTCCTCTCGCCTGCCCACCCTCCCCAGGGCCTGGCCTGCCTGTCCCTCCTGCCTGTCCTGGAGCTCCCTGGGTGTGTCAGGAGCCGTCCCCACCACAGCCACTCAGAGGCGCTCCTGTCCAGCCTCAGCTGCCCCTTCACGCCTGGTTTTCGTCCACTTGCTTTTCTGACTTAAGGGGCAGGGCTCACGGCGGTGTTAGGGCTTTCAGTGTTAGAGCAAGGCGGTCCTCTCCAGACAGGTGGGCCTGGAGAGGTGGGACCTCCTGGCATCTCCCTGGCAGGGCTGTGATTCTCCTTTCATCTGATCCACAGGGGCAGAGGAGGCTGCCAGGGAGTGAGGACATGGCCTGGCTCTGGGGTCTTTGAGACCTGGTTAGAGGCCCTTCTGCCACTCACAGGCCTTGTGGCTCCGCTCAGTCCCTGCCATGGGCATGTGCGCATGTGTGCATATCTGTAGACCCAGTTGGGCAGCGGGGCGCACGTCCCCCCGGGGATTGGCCCCCAGCCCCATCGGGTCGGGGCAGAGTGCCCTGAGCATGTTGCTGTCGTGTGTTTCAGGTGAGCCACCAGCTGGGCAGTATCATGGACCTCTTCACCACCAGCCTGGCGCTTGCGGGCCTGACGCCGCCCAGAGACAGGGCCATTGATGGCCTCAATCTCCTCCCCGCCCTCCTGCAGGGCCGGCTGATGGACAGGTTGGTGCTAGAACTGCCCCGGCCCCTTCCCCCGGATCCAAGTGGTGACGCCCAGAGCTGATGATCAGGTGTGACCCCCAGGCCCAGCCGCCCCTCATTGCGGACACAGGCGTGCTCGTGCCCAGTGCTGAAGGAGGCGGGGGGCCTGTGACGAGAGGACCTGGGGACCTGCCTGTGGGGCGGGAGCCACCCTGGGAAGGTCCAAGCACAGCGAGGCCCTGGCTCTCAGGAAAGCCTTAGGAGGGAGAGCAAGGCCGGAAGAGGGGCCTCATCCCTGCCTGTACCCAGGCACACACCGCCCCTGCCCACCCCACGCCTCTTCCCTGCCCAGCCTGGTTTTCGGTGCCCCATGGCTTCCTGTAGTTTCCTTCCACCTGAGTCGCTGCTCTGCCAAGTCCACGGCCTGGCTCATCCGGCTCTTAACTTCTGTCTAAATCCTTGGTGTCCAAAGTCCATTTCCTACCCCCGAGAGCAGCCACCACTTCACTCAAACCACGTTTCCTGGGCGGCCCTGAAGGGATGAGGATTATTCCAAAGGCTTGATGGGAAACAGAAGGTGGGGATGGCCCAAGGCAGCTGCCTCCTCTGGCTTTCCGGGGCAGGACAGAGGGGGTTTTGCTCACTTGTCCCCTCTCAGGAACTGGCACAAGTGCTTGGTCACTGTGGGGAGAGACGGTGCCCGGCTGCATCCCCCACTCCCCGTTCCTGCCTCGCAGGCCCAACGTGGTCCAGAGACCCCGTGCCACCCGCTTGCCTCTCACCTGCCCACCCTCCCCAGGGCCTGGCCTGACCTCGCCAAGGACCAGCAATGAGGGGACGCCCAGGCACCCCAGCCCCGGCCACCTTACAAGCCTTTTCACTTTTCGATCATCTTTGTAAAGTATCAACCAAGACCTCACGCAGAGGCATGAGCCACTGATGACGGACGCAGCCCGGAGCCCCCAGGTGGACCCAGCGAGTCCTTCCCATCGTTACATGGTCCTCCCCCCCGCCCGACAGGCCTGTCTTCTATTACCGCGGTGATACGCTGATGGCGACCACCCTCGGGCAGCACAAGGCTCACTTCTGGACCTGGACCAACTCCTGGGAGAACTTCAGACAGGTACGGGGCTCGGGACACGGGCGCGGGCGGAGCTGCCCCCATCTCTGTCCAGATGTGGCCCCTGAGTGCCATCCTTGGGGAGGCACAGGGGGGTGAGACAGGCAGGAGCCCCACCCTCTCCACAGCCTCCTCTGCGTGGCCCCCAGTCCTTCAGCGTGGCCCAGGGTGTGGCAGCTGACAGGCTGGAGGCGAGGGAGGGACCTCTTCCTGCCCCGCATGATGACAGCAGCCCTGCGGCACAGCTCCAAGCCTGGCCCAGACCCTGGTCAGGTGGCCCCCATGGGCCTCTCCATCCTGCCAGGGCACCTGAGCCTCGCCCACACCCCAGGCTGGAGGCGATAGGGGTGTGGCCTGTTTGGCCTGGGTGCTACATGGGGGCCACAGCCTCAGCGTCACCACAGCAGCCCCCAGCGTGGGAGGGTGAAACGCCACATGCACAGGGCCTGGGGCTCCAGCCACCCCAGGCTACCCCAGTACTGTCAGTGCCAGACTCTCCCACGAGCCCTCGCCTCAAGCCTCCCGCTCCCTCCCCAGGGCCTTCTCTGGCCCCTGCTAATCCCCACGCTCCAGCATCCCCGACCCCCTCCTGAGGGGTCTCTCTCAGCCCCACCCACTCCCAGCATCAAAGTCTTGAGATATGAACCCCCTGTTAATCTGCCTTAATTGGGAAGAAAATCATTCAGTTTAATGGAGAATCTAAGGACTAGAAGTGAGGACTGGAGCTGAGGGCTGAGCACCCAGGCTGAGGAGTGAAGCTGCTCGCCGGGCAGCAGCTGGAGGGCACCAGTGCCCAGGAGTGTTTTTGGCCTCTCCTCACCTTGTGCAGGCCCTGCACCCACTCTTTTTCGGGTTTTACCCAACACTGCCGCTTGCGAGGGCCGTCCTGGGCATCGGTCCCCCGGCCCTCTCCGTGATCCGCCCTTCTCCAGACTCCCAGGATTCCTCAGGGCTGCTCTAGTGAACACCATGGGTACTTCCTGGCTACCTGGAGGCCGGCAGTGTGTGGAACCCTCTGGAAGGAGGGCTGGTCCCCGACTGTCACACACGCAACCCCTCACCCTCTCCGGGGCCCTCTATGGGGTCCCTGCCATTGGCCCTCTTGGGACAAGGTCGGTGAGCCCCGCTTTTGCCCAAGTTGGTGTTCAGAGTGGACGGGCTGCAGCCAGAAGGGCACACAGAGCTCCCGGGCTGAGCCTCCCAGGTTCCTGTCAGCGCCTGTAAAAGTCTGGAAGGTTTTGCAGGCAGACTCGCCGCTGACACAGCCTGGGTCTCACTCGCATGCCACTCTTTGCTGGAGCATGTTTGTGCAAGGGCTCAGAAAACATCAGGAGAAGCCCCCCAGCACCGGCAGGCAGGGAGGCTGTTAACCGCGTCACTCCACTCCCTGGAGAGTATTGGGGGCTGCCCCTGACACCAGGCACCATGGTCCTGAGGGCCCAGGGCTTGTCCTCATGGCAGATGCCGCGGTCCTGAGGGCCCGGGGCTTGGCTTCATGGCAGATGCCGCGGTCCTGAGGGCCCAGGGCTTGTCCTCATGGCAGATGCCGCGGTCCTGAGGGCCTGGGGCTTGGCCTCATGGCCGTAGGCAGAGTGGGGTCGTCGGTAGTGAACTCACCTGTTCCGGGGCAGATGTCCTTACTCGTAAAAATCGCAGCCTGAGATGCAGAAAATGAGGACCATGGACTGTGAGCGTTGTGGGGTGGGGAGGGCCGGGGAAGGGGCCTGGCGTGGCTGAAGCTGCTGGTCAGCAAATGGGTCCCAAGGGGGCCACAGCTGAATGTTCCAAGAAGGGAACCTGGAATTTTTTTCTTTGGAGTTTTATGGGTTTTTAAGTATATCCAATTAAACACAATTTTTTTTAAGACAGAGTCTGGCTCTGTTGCCCAGGCTAGAGTGGAGTGGCATGATCTCAGCCCACTGCAACCTCCACCTCCAGGGTTCAAGCGATTCCCCTGCCTCAGTCTCCCAAGTAGCTGGGATTACAGGTATCTGCCACTATCTCCGGCTGATTTTTGTATTTTTAGTAGAGATGGGGTTTCACCATGTTGGCCAGGCTGGTCTCAAACACTTGACCTCAAGTGATCCACCTGCCTCAGCCTCCCAAAGTGCTGGGATGACAGGCGTAAGGCGCCGTACCTGGCCTAGACACATAATTTGAACATAAAAAGAAAAATCAGAATTTGTTTTCCAGCCTAAGAGCAGATGACAGTGGGCTCCTGTGACGTTTTTGTCTGTTGTGGCCACTGCCGGGGAGAATCTGCGTCCTGCGTGGGTATCAAGTCCGTGATCTGTTGTTCCTGTCCTGCTCCACAGCCCCACAGGGTGTGGCTCGGCAGGCCAGCCCGTGGCCGGAGCCCCGTGGACTCACCTGCCCTGTGGGCCTGGGGTTCTCTTGGAGGGCACTGACTGGGCCTTGGTCTCTGGCAGCTGGCCAGCCTTGCGGACGACAGAGATCCTCTGGTTCCTATCACACGTGGCTGAGTGGGTCAGATGGGAGCCTGTGACGGACAAAACACCCTTGGCAGTGTGGGGGTGGG